GTTGGAGTAATAGCAAACAGCACATTTTGTAAAAGGGTATGAGTTAACGTACGTCTTAAAAACTTCGTAAAAAAAAAAAAAAATTTACAAGATCGCATCATCAATTTGAAGAAGAAGATGGGGTGATTAGTATATTAACTTGCTGACACCGAATTTTAACAGCCTGGCAAGTTAGGTCATGATATTTTTAAGAGTTAAGGATTGTGTCGAAATAGATTGGTCACGTTAATAATTGAGGCATATGACAGCTAGGAAAGTATATCGATGACCGGAATTAGTGCAGACCATACTATTTATCAACCGCCTATTCTTAAGTCTCCCACAGGTATTAATGCGGAACACACTATTGATGAATTCGCACTAATTATGGGTTCGGATATTTATTATGGACCGCAAAAAAATTTTATGCAGAGAATTAGTACGGATTCTTAATCGCCGAAACAGCGAAGTATGTAACAATGTATTTGGCTACACATTTCATAGCTCAGTTGGAACGGGAGTGGCATCGTTGTGGATGCGATATTTGCCATAAATTTGTTGCAGTTCCGGCGTCAATTTCAATACTTGCCATCGACCACTGACGTCGAGTGCCATGCCACACAAATTCATAGGCATAAGAGAGTATGTCAAGCCGCAACTGTCGCGCATACCGCATAACGCGCGTACGGATGTGGCGGTGAGTTTCAAGAAGAAGCGTTTGCCCGGGTTCCTCAGATTTCCCAACCAAGACCTGTCTCCGTGCGCGGTGTCTGACTAGTCGCCTTTTCGATAATGTGCATCTCCTGGACCTCATGCTATCAAATCCATTCGCCCTTGATTTTTAAGATGAAAAAAGAGTCAGCGGGATTAACAAGATCGGTCGCGGAGGCTGAAAAATAGCGGAGGTCAGTGTTGTTTTTCAACAGAAAATCAAGTAATTCTGGACTGTCGTTGTGGCCGGTACAATTGTCCACATTTATGACAGTCCTCCGTCCGGCACCATCTCGATTGAATGCGCGTGGGCTCGTCAAGCCATTGCAGATAACCTACAATTGTGTAAAAATAGATAAGAGAGAGTACTATAGATAATTCGTGATGCATGAAACACTAACTTTTATATCATTTCATCATCCTCTACGACCGGATCATCATGAAGCACCAGGGACTTTGTCTGGAAGACCGTCTATAGCGATGATCGGTTCGAACTCTGGAAGAATATGATGGTGCATCATTTCACGCACGAATTTAACCGTGATGTAGACCATCATGGTCATTTCTGTACCACCCGACACAACATAGGCATAGTTAATCTCTGTATCATTACGATAAACAACTTTGAGGCTGTTGTCGCAATTGTTCACGAAACGTTTATCATCCACATTGCAAATCAGGTCTTCGTTTAGGTCTTTAGACTCGATGCCCCTGCGTGCCTCGCCCATATGGTACGCAACTGTTTATATCGATATGGTCCTGCTTAGAGGGGCTGAACAGAAGCTTCCCGGTATGTGCCCGATGGGCTATGTCATACACCTCCTATCGCAGCAAACAAAGTCGAGCAGTAAAAGTTACGTATCGGGCAATATCACTGACAGCACCATCCTAGGTTAAAAGCCTCATTATCAGCACCAGTCCCAAAATCAGCGCTAGCCAATAACCAATTTAGTGTAGATCACACTAGTTGGTGCTCCCGTACACAAGAAAAATATTATGCTGTAAGCGCCACATGTTTAAGTGTTTAATTACAGCATGATTTAAAAGATGTCACGCTAAAGGGTGGTAATAGATTTAGGTGCAAGTTATGAAGTTACTGAAAAGGCTCATGGAAAAATATTCCAGTTCGGTGTTGATCAAATATAGTAGAGTTGTATGCGACCTGAAGAGTAAAAGTGAAACGATTTTGATTACAATTAGCGAAATGATAGATAAAGTACACATGTATCTTACAATCTAATTACGACATCGTAGTTAAAGTTAAAATTACATAGTCCTTGTCCTTGTTCTAGTGCTATCGGTTGGTAATCGATAGCTGATAATTTCAAATGCGCAAAATTCGCGTAACTAAGCATATTTAAGCACAATATTCCGCAGCGATTAGTCTTTCTGTGCTGTAAGCGCACCACATCGTCCAGCACTACAGATGGAAGCATTAGACCATGACCTAGAGTCCGCTGTCCCTTTTTCAGTTCACACAAGAACCTACGAAAAACACAATGCACACCACAATTTATGCAGCATTAAACGTCCAGAATGCAACCGCTTTACACTGTCACATGCAGCATTCTATTAAATTACTTGATCCATAATCAGCATCACATGCTCAGCACTCAAGGTATTCAATCCTTTTTTTCTGTCTAAAAGTAAAAGTGCTGTTTAGTGGTTCGCTACTTTCCAAAGCTCGCAAATTTTACAAAAGCCCACGTACAAATTCATCAACATCACTTTTGTGCGTCTCGCTACTTGGTTCGAAAACGGCATTGCGTACTCACCCTTCGTGCTATCCTGGTAGAAGAAACCACAATGACAACAAATACAAAACAACATACACACAATGTGTAAGCCTAGCTTTAGACGATATTCACACATCCTCGTATAATATAAAACTATCGGAAGTGACTTGTTTAGCGTTGAGGCCGTGACCACATCCCGCGCATCTAGCACACCAAAGACTGATTCAAATTTGACGCGTGTCTTCGTCTGTGTATACATCTTATATCGCGAACACAGCAATAAATACCGTCAGTTAATTTGTGAGCTACCTCAACCACAAAATCTTCTTATTTTCGAACACTGTTGTCTATCCGTCATCATGAATTAAGTCCTGCTTTATCTCAAGATCCAGTCGAGTGTGTTGTTCCAGCACGAATGGATCAAGCACAACATCCGATCGTTTGGGACCTATCAGCATTAATGAAAGATTTAGCGTGAGCAATTCTTTGGTTCCAGCGTCTCGATCGCCTTAATGATTTTGTAGGATCGTCCATCGGGCAAAAAAACTTACCTATTCTATTTACGTAAGACCCGACATTGCAAGTCGTACATCACACAAGTAGACTCTGTGTCAGTTCCTCACCAAACCATGCGCAAGAATCATGTAACATGCCACACATGTTCCTTTCGGCACGCATCTCTCGCTCACGCATTGCACGTCGCGTCGAATCGCAAAGCGTATTCGCAACTATCTAGCACTCCTTTACAAAGCGATAGTCATAGGTTCATTTTTTAAAAGAAATAAAAGGTGATCTACACTATATCGGTTATTGGCTAGTGCAGACTTTGGGACTGGTGCTGATAATGAGACTTTTAATCAAGGATGGTGCTGACAATGAGACCTTTGACCTAGGATAGTACTGATTGTAAGATTTACTCTTATTATGTACAAGTGCAAATGTACTATTTACCATGATCTGCTGAGCACATCGTGTCTCAATTGTGTTGACAGTAGGTTTATCGTCGAGTGGATCAATGAAGTTGAAATTGAAAAAGGCGCATCGTTCATGACAGCGCGAGCAAGCTGACCGATTAGGTCTGGAGGGAAATTGACTCCAGCTGGAAAGGGGACCCTTGGTTTGGGTTACCACGAAACTTCACGTACACTAGTACGTGCAGAGGAAGCTAATCTCCTAGAACAGTTTGTTTAACTTAAAGATTTAAGGGAACTGTATTTAATATAGTTAAGCTATCAATATAATTTTAGTCTTTATCTAACTATAACAATCTACGCCGTTCGTATGACGACAACCTGCTCACCACTCATTGCGCGCGTCTAGCAGCGATCGGTTGTACCTAGATTAAAATGTCTTTTATCAACCAATTTTTGAGCAGCACATGAACATTGTCCTGCAGGGGGATAATATTCCCTCAATATTATCTATCGCGGATAATATAGACAGGTAATTGTCATGCTAAACAATATCCCTATTGACACCGTTTGGTGTGAATATCATGTTACGGGCTACCCCGTTACAGGATACTGATAAAGGGTAGACGGCGATGAAGGGTGCTCGAGACAGCAAATGGTTTTTAAAAGCTCTGATCATACAGAGCATCGTCGAGCATGTTATTGCCGAAGTTGTCAACCAGAACCAATGCAAACATCAAACATCAAACTCAAGCTATTTTCATTAAAAATACTACGTCAAACGAGAACAACCTGACTGCGTGTCATAGAAAGAGGCAAGGCAAAAGGAAAGCGCGGCAATCGCTATGCCAAGTGCCGGTTCGAGAACTGGTGAGTGGTCGATCGAGATTCTTTCGTTGTTTATGCATACAGTGGAAGAGGTGCGATCAGTACGCTGCATATGTGCGACTATTGTCGAGTAATGAGTCTCTGCACCGACGCAACGTACCCAATGCTCCGCTTGATCGCTCTCGATCAAGTTGTATGCATCATTATCGACAGAAATCCGTTCATGCACCTACCGTTTCCGCCGTTCCTTTCGAGGCCTGCAGTGATGGTGCCCATAAAACAGCCCAACAGGTGAAACCATAAATTATAAAGCAAATACCAGCGTAGATGTCTCCCGACGTGCTTTCAAGTATCTTGAGTGGTGTGAAAATGACAGATTAGGGCTCCTTACACCACGTTGTAATGCTCATGCCAGCCATCGTTTGCAATGATTACATTGATATCCTTCAGCAGCATGCTTGGTATCTCTTAGTGGTCAACAGTCTAGGATGAATAATTTTGGACTACGACAGACACCATACGACGCGATGTGTGAACCGAGCCACGCAAAAAGGTTGGCACCGTGTAGGGCCGTAACACGCAGTTGCAGTTTTCAATCGGCTGAACTTCGACATCATTCCGTCATGATCTTCAGGCAAAAAAATTAGTCGAAACCGCTTTCGATGAAGCAGACAGAACACATCAGCGATACTTGCTCGCACAATTTACTTGTCATCGAATCTAGGTATTGGTACACGTTAATATGATGAATACGCGCTGTACGTTTCCGGTGGCATTTCAAAAGACCCCGACCCGTCTGCAAATCTGATGGCGCTCATCGATGGACATCAAGCAGTCAAAGTGAGCTCTCACGAGCGCCCACGGAATCCACTTCAACGCTTGCTTTCGGCTGGGCCACAGCGTGAGACCTCGGTGCGTTCATGTACAGCTCATAGAGATCGGCACGCTTGCGCAAGTGTTCTTGCATAGGACCCAACAAGCGTTTGAACGTGGCTCGGTCCAATACGAGGAGCTTGGTCTTGTGCACAGCAGTGACCGTGGCCTGGCGCACGTCATCGTGGATCAGCGCAAGCTCGCCAAAAAAGTCACCAGCTGCAAGCCTCGCCAGCACTTCCTCACCTCGACGTGTGCACTTGACTTCGCCGTGTGCAATGATATAGAAATCGTCCCCTGCGGACCCTTCAGTAAGAATGACATCTCCTGACTCGACAAACTCTTCGCGCAAAGCGTCGGCCACTGTCATCTTCTCATAGCTCGACAAAGTCGAGAAGATCGGCACTTGGCCCAGAAAGTCGAGGTAAAGAGCACGTTGCTTCATTGTCGTAGCCATGAGCACACACTTGAACGTCCTTCGATCCAGTGTCCAGCACTCGACCAGCGTCCTAGCACGCACTGTCGCCGCTCTGGGTGAGTCGTACAGTAGTGCCAGTTCACCAAAGAAGTTGCGCGTCGACGACGCACACACTTCCCCCACGACGCGATGATTCACCACCACGTCACAGGCACCACTTGCCACGATGAAGAACTCGTCTCCAGCCTTGTCCCCTTGGGCCACAATGTCCACACCTGCGTCCACCGCAACGTACTCCATGGCGTCCACGAGCACCTGCAACGTATCTTGTGGAATGTTTGCAAACAGCAGATTGCGTCGGATCGAGCACCGAATGGATTCCGCGTCTTCTTTGCTCTTGCCGTGGACAGGAGGCATCCACTGTTCAGGAGGCGCTGGCACAAAAGACGACACGACCGAGCGCCGGTGTCTGTTGGCAGAGCCGCCCAGTCGCGCCGTAATGGCGCCAAAGTCCACAAAGTCTTCCGAGTCGCTGTCACTTGCCGAGGAGCGCGCGTCCTCGTCTTCCGTCTCGTTTTCTTCGTCCACGTCACAAAGTGTCGGTAGTTTGCGATCCGGGCACTGCGTCTTGAGACATGCCGGTTGATTACTCAACTCATTGTTGTCGTGAATGTGCATCTTGCCGGCCACGTGTTTTCCGGTGCTGTAGTCGTTGACAGACATGATTGTACTTGGTTTATCTATTGAAGTTTGTTGTGACTGACTGACCTGCTCGTGGCAAAAGCTTTAATGCACAAGTGAGCGACGCCTTGTTCTTCTTTATTTTCTTCTCCTTATTGCAGGATCTTCTGTCCTTGTCACACAGGATCCTGCTCGTCTCGTTTTTGCACACGTGGTCTGACGAGCGACATGCAGTTATCCCATGACGTAGGACGAGGCGCCAGTGGCGACGTTTTAACAGCGAATCAGAGCGCGAGAAGGGGCGCGATGCTCCCACGTTGATCTAATTGGTAGACAAAGTGGCTACGAGGGACCCAACGCGCAGAAGTGGCTGACCCGAATGGTCATTCATGCTGCATGTCGCATGATAAGGCCTGTGGCGAGTCGTAATCATTTCCTATTTTCACCTTACAGCCTTTATTGAAGATGATGTACGACGGACTAGACAACTCTACGTAGCTCCAATCTTTTGATCGCGGCCTACGAACTACTCTTGCGCTTGCCACAGCAACTTGAGATCGGCAAGTACCTGCTCAATGTCTGCGGCAAACTTCTCCGAGCTTGTAGACGGACAGGTCTTCTTGCTGGATATGTGGAAGCCAAGCATGTTGTCGCCTGCAACCATATAGCTGACGCCGTATCCGTCTTCAGCTACCGGGCCAAAGCCACCACCAGGACAACGCGCGTCTTCAATCGTGTACTTTGATCCTTTCAAAGCATCTTCAACCAGACGCCAGTTGTCCGTTTGCTGCTGAGGCTGCTGACTTGTCGACAGACGCCATGGACGGCTTAGCGCGTTGTTCAAGAATGCCGACTCGGTACCGAAACCCACAGACACGCAGTAGAGTGTGAAGAGATGGCGGTCAATACCCTTGCCGCTCATGGCATTCCGGTAGCTGTCCTGGTGCACATCACATGCACGCTGAAGCAGCTGCAGTTTATCGGCGTTCGATAGGTTTTGATCGGCCATGCCAAGCACAAACTCTTTCGATTCGTCCGTCACTGGCCGGACTGTTTCCGTGCGACCGTCTCGATACAGCCGAGTCATGCTAGACTCGTACGTCTGCGTAATCGTGCCAGAGTTACGGTAGTACGCGAGCTGGAGCGCCATCTGGATGAATGCATCAGGACTCACGCGGAACTTCTTGATCAGGCCTTTGCCATAGTCGGTGTACGAAATGACTTTCAGATCGAAATCACCGATGGCCTTCTCAGCGTCTGCTAGTGATTTTAGCACAGCGCGGTCAAGGCCCGTCGAAAAGTCCCACTGGAGCAATCTACAAGGCGGTAACGCGGACGTCCGTTCATCTTCTGACAACACCAGAGCATCTCCTTGTTGGTCGTATGGAAACGTGTAGCACTGCTTCGTGTACACCTGCTCCCACGCATGAGCCATCACCGGCGCATCAGCCCACGCATGCTCGGCATTGATTCCCGCAACACTATTCTTGTATATGACGAGGTTGAACGACTTATCAAACCATCGATTTCCACCACTGCCATGAATGAGGTCCTTGCCCATTGACGTCCAGTCCTTAGCCGTTTCATTATGTAGGATCACCACAAACACTGATGACTCAATAGCTTCCAGTGACCGCTTGTTCATGCCGCTGGAAAAGAACTGCTCGCGGTTCTCTGCCCACTCAATGCGACCAGCGGCGGTCAAGGCCGGAAGGTTCTGCTCTGCACTCGTGGAGTCTTCCATGGCCAAAGCTGTCGACTGAATCCACTCCAGCTGGCGCTGGATCTCAAACTTTGACAGCAACTTGCCATATTGACCCTTCTCGTACAGAGGCATCTTGAACACGCGACCGTGGCAGAACACGGCAACGTGTTTCGATTTGTGGTGGTACAGCTTGAGCACGTCCGTCTCGCGTCCCGGAATGCGAGTGCACGAGAACATGCGCTGGTACTGGCTCATGCAGAGCGGGACAATGCCGCGAATGAGCAGCGGCGGCAGATGTTCTCGGTCCAGATCCTGCTTGAACAGCAAAAACTCGTGCACGAGCACTGCCGCTAAGGCCACGGGGTTTTTCGTGAGACTAAAGTCGAGGTTAGCACCTGGTAGGGCGTAGTAGTTACTGTTGATCATCAACGACGAGCGGCCTTTGAGGTACACGTACTTTTCCCACCAGTCCGTGACGTAATTGGACGCCCACCAGCTCTTCAAGTACAAATAAAACTGCAGCTTGGGCCCTTCCTTGTGCACAAACTCGTGCGCCATGCGCTCCACGTCCTTGTACTCTTCCGACGTGAGCAGCGGGTGCACTGACTTCAAGTATCTCTGGACTGTATCCTTCAGTGGGGGCAAGGGTAACCTCGGCAGCGCGTCTTGAAACGAGTACGTCAGCGGGTTCCGCCCGCCAAAGATCTTCAAGAGAGCGGCCCAGACCACAACAACGCGGCTCTTCTGCCGTGGGGCTAGGTATAACCACCCTCGGTAGCTCAGTAACAGCCGGAGAAAGAGTCGCTGGACGGCCATGAGCGCCAACAGACCCAAAAAGGCCGCCCAGGCGGCAAGCGACGCCACGTAGAGCGAATTGGGTAACAAGTACCAAAAAGGCATCAAAAAGTTGCCCACATGCCACACACAGACCGAAACAGGTCCACTTCGCCACCACGAGTCGGTGGGCGACACGACCACAACGACCGAGATGGCGAGTACAGTCAAAATGGCTACAAAAGGTGGGGCGGGGTACACGCCGCGTTGAAGGGCGCGCTGGAGATGGAAGAACTCACGGACGAGCGAGCGACGGATCTCATGCGGAGGAGGGATCGTAAAGGACACGCGGAGGCCTTCGTCCGAGTACAAGAGCTCCACGCCGCGCTTGTGCTCGTCAAAGACGCCGGTGGCCTGATGAGCTTCGGCCATGGGTGCACTGTTCTTTGAGAGGGCAAAATGGAAAGTGACAACGTCTGTCAAAAGTGGGGGGTTCTAATTTAGAAAGGGTGAGTGGTGTCAAGGTACCCATTTCGTTGGACTTCAACTTGCGTCGGGGGTCTTGATTTTAGAACGTGTCTGATAAGTGAGCGTAGTTTTTTTAACGTTGCTGGATCAAATGTTGGTGACAGACTTGTTGCGAGTGGTTGTTTGTACTCTACAAATTTGGAAGGATGATGGCGTTTCTAATTTGTAGATAGGAAGACGTCATCATGATGGTTTGTGATTTTGAGCACATTTTTCAAAGCTACTCATTTTCTGTTCTTCAGTTCTCACTTCAGATTCGACCGGCAGTTTTGAAGTGGACGTTGAAGTTGCGCGCGCAAAAATGACGCTGCCGACAACGACAACTCATTGGTCCACCCATCTGTTGCCTGTCATCTGTTTTGACCACAACGGCACGAGACTATTTCTGTTAGCGAGCTAGAAACGCTGATCGCTTCGCTATTATTGCCAGCTAGTTCGAGTGTGGTAGGTCAGAGAGATGAAGCTGTAAGGTCAGTCATGCTCAAAGAATTTCGCAGATGGAATTGGTGGCCGGACAAATGGATATCGAGCACGTATGTTGTTTGAAGTGACACATAGCACAAACTTCTCACACCATCTCACATATTATCTACCCCACTTGGACGAGTGAAACTCGACGTGACACTTCGTGTCGTACATCAAGAGCTGCAACTACTGACCGTCCAAGTGGATTGCATCGCCAAGATTAGAATTTTAAGTAGCTGTCGGAGCGTTGCAGGAGCAAGGGCTTTCGACCGGCGCTTCGTCAAGTCAACGCACGTACTGGTTGCCCTTCACAATCTCCATACCTGGTGGACCATGGGTAACTCTAAATATACCTACAATAATTGCTGAATACGCGTCAATGATTAATAGGCTATCCATTTAGCTTTAAAAAACTATGCTGATGAATGCTGGGAGAACATCCGCTCTGTAACAAGAGAGCAGCCACAATTTAGCAAGAGAACATCCTTTTAATGTAGCCCCTCGTTGATTTAACGATACACTGACCTCCTTCATTCAGTCAGCTCCCTCTGTAGCATTCCCGGATAGAACATGCTCCCTCTATAAGAACCAAATTAGGATGGAAACATAGGGACGTCATAGAGGGAGCTGATTGTATAGGAGAATTCACAACCTTCTATTGTCTTTATTTTTCAGATTTGAGGATTGCCCGTTAGCGAGCGCGAGAGCATGCCGACACTATGTATGACGAGAGATTCTGTACGAAAACGAACGGAGACGAAAGCTTCGCGGTCTTGGTGAAGACTCTGCATTCGTTCTTAAGCATTGACCCTTTAAGATAGCTTATGGGAAGTGGTTGTGGACATCACTTTGCTCTCGTAATGATGTTCGTCTCCTAAAGGTGATTCAGTAACCCTGAAACACAAATAGGTTTGGCACGTGTTAGTTGTATTTCTACATTATCACATACGCGCACATTTTTGTGCAGCACCAACAGATTTGTGCATCTGGACAAATGCGGCCTTTGTATAGTCTCCTTCTCGTGTCACACGCCGCGCCGCCAGTAATGCCGACAGCTTTATGTTGTTTATGCGTTGCACGTATCTTAAGTGGCAGTCGTTAAAGGTGTCGACCGGCTCAATGTTGCGTAACCCTTTGTCAAAGATGATCGCAAGCTCATACAAACCGCAAACAAGTTTAGTTCCGCGGTCCAGAAACAACTTTTAAGCGCCCATAGAATTATAATATTTCTTTGCAAGAAGGAAAGAGAACGCGCTTGATGCCGCGCATCTTGTGTGGGCAATGCTGACAGCAAAATCTTGGCGCAAAGTGTACTGTTTCATGGTTCAGACAGCTCCCTCTTTACTTTCGAATGTCCCGACTGGTAGAGGTCTTCACAACTTCACGACTTCATGATGGAGCCGGGGCGAAAGGATTGACAGTATCAGTAGTGTCTTCAGCGGTTCATTCAGCGACATTAATAGCAGTATCAAGAATAGAAAAGGAGACCGACGCAGGAGAGACCGAATGTTCAACATCGTGAGCTGCACCACCAGAGGTGAAGATATGATGGCTCATCGTCATGTAGACGATACAGTCACGAAGACAGCAAGAGAGGCCTGACTGAGGCTACCTAACGGGCATTCTCTTGTCAATTGTGGCTGTTGTCTTGTTACATGGTAGATGTTCTCTTAGCATCCGCGGACATAGTTTTACTAAGCTTAATGGATAGCCTATGAATCAATTGGGAGTATTTTGCAATGGAGGAAAGTGTATTTAGAGTCACCATCGAGCAGGGCTTAGACTATATGGTAACAGATGCCACAAGTGTTTACGAAGTTCAACTTCCCGATCTGTGATTTAATCGCCTCGCCTTAACAGAAAACTTACTGGTCATCATCCGAGAGCTGACAGCCAAAATTCGGCCATGACGGCTGTTATGCCGGCGTCATGGCAACTTCAAGCACTGGAACGTAATCACCCACGTCGACAAACATATAGAGGACGTCCTGTTTCAATCTCTGCCACTAGTTCTGGTTTAGCTAAGGTGCCGCGAGCCGAGTAGAATGCTATTCCACACAAGAGTACGAATGTGTGTATCGTGATTCGCTTAAGGGTTGCTGGGTCGACCCGGTATTCGATCCGACAGGTCCGGGTTACGGGTCGACGTCTGACTCGGCTGAATGCACCCGGTCCGGAGCCTTGAACACGATGATCGGTTATTCGGTACTGTTTCGTGTGATGAACATAAAAAGCAGTATATCTGAGAGGCGTGCAATCGGCCTCTCAGATATACTGCTTTTTATGTTCAAACGGCACGGTATTACCAAACCACTAGCGGTAATACCGTGCCGTTTCAATTACGGTTGAATAGTATGTATTGTAAAAGGGCATCCTAAGTACGTGTGAGTTCCTGATGTGATAACATCAGAAGAATCTGGATCGGGTTCCCAGATTAGGTAGCAGAGTTCGAAGTTCAGCTAAGAAGAGAAGGTTTGTTATCGTTATAAATCACTCGATAAATATAGTCCCCTTGCAATCAATTTATGACACGCGTCTGGCTGAGACGTCTTGATCTAAGAGTTGAGAGCCTGCATTTAGTCTATTACGTTTGGGCATTAGTGCCACATAATTCGATTGATTTGTTCAATTGTCTTAACCAGGAATAGAAGCATACGTGCTTGTTTAAATACTTAGAGTGGAGTCTCATCAAGTATGTAGAGACATGAGAATGAATAAGCTTATGCACGTATAGTATGGTATACAAATAGCCTATTCGAGTCGATAAATCTTACTTTGACAGAGAGGTTCGGGTATCTCTGCTACAAACTCTTACCTGCTCATTATACATCAACCAATGACTACACGAAAGTGATCAAACGCTCTTGCGCCTCCACAATAGATAATTCTAGCGCCTCTATAAGAGAAAATTTATGGCGCACTGGAATGCGAGAAGACAATTGACACTCACGCACTCGAATAAGGATATGCAGTACGCAACCTGAGTACGTGCAAAGTCAGAAACCAGAAGGCCAGAGACGTGAACGGTCAGTCAAGACCACGACTGCTTGCAGGCTGGAAGCGTTGTAAGAGAAGATATTCGTGTCCTCATGTACGTGTCCGGCAGTGCATAGTAGGGAGTTCATGTCGCGTTTGAATTGAAAATCTTCAAACCTAACAAACCAGTTGGAATGCAGCGTTTCTTTGCGCGACACAAAACCACGAACCTTTCCTTCGGCTCATCCGTGGGGGAACCAAATCTATGAAAAAGGCTCATATTGTCAAAAGAAGGCGAGTTGGCGTTAATTTAGACGCAAAACCACTGCTACAAGACAGCATCACGCCGCCCTGCATGCGCAGCCCAAGATGTCAACAACGTGCGTCGTCAGCTTAGAGTCGGTATGCTAGCTGGATGTTTACGGCTCCAAGCTCCAAGCACTACTCAACAAACTCGAAAGCACGGATCTGATGTACCGCATTCAACAAACTATAGGAAGCCTGCAGCTATCACATCTGTTCATCGCATCGCTGTCAGCACGCAATGTTTGCGCTTAGTCAGCGAATGAAGTGTTTGTTTGCTTGGTGCACTACATTTAACAAAAATATTATGGTCGCCGTTTATTAAAAGTGGTTGGATTACACTCAACCAATGCCACATTTACCCAATGAACTGTTTGATGGAAACGGACAAGACGGAGGACTACTGGGCCACGAATGTGCTCATGGACGTATTTTTTTTCGACTGGGTATCACCCATTACTCGCCCTTGTAGCGGACCGGGAAGGCGAACTCAGGGCCGTACAGTCCGAATCGTTTCCAGCAGCAAGCGCCCTGCTATACTATTGAAACGTCAGCAACGACACACTTGACAAGCAAATTACAGCGTTTCAAGTACAGGAATATTTTGAAACTTCATGTGACACGACGACAGCTCGCGGAGATTTCTACACTGAAGCAGCATTTGAAGAACGACTCGAGAAAACGCGTAGCTATTAGCATAGATAAACAAGTATTGTATGTCAATCACATGGATACAGTACAATGGCAACAACCAACTACTTGATGGTTTTCTAGATTTATCCACATACCAAAGTAATTCTTTATTCATGTTAATTCAGAACAGAGGAGTAATGATGCCTGGATGCACGTTTATCGCCGTATGTACTCACATCAACATCGCGCGTGCAAAGTGATAATGCGGCTTCAATAAATGGATTACAGTGCCCCACGATTATAATCTACACTTCTATAGCACGGTTTGTGATGCCTTTACTGTGTTTGATTACGTCATATATCTAATCAGGTGGTATCCTGACAGTGAAGACAGGCATCAAGCTGGCATGTCAAGGGTAGCTCTTCAGCATGGGGAACTAACATGCCAAGGAACGTGCTATAGGAGACGATAAAATTAGTGCAATGTTTAGCGCTGTTATGGATACAATATCGGTTGCAAAACTGCG